GTACGAAACTGATGGGGCGATGGCGAAAGCGAACTGCTAATTGGAAGTTGTGGTATAACGGCGTTATTATGGTACATTCATCAAATGTTAAATTATGAGCAAGCTAGGGAGCCTTTACCACGAACAGATCCTGCGTTTAATAAAACTCCATGCAGACGACGGCATGAAAGTTTACTTCAATTATGTAGATGACTTGCAAAAAAATGTTTAACTGCTCTCTGCATCCGTCACATCGTGGGTCATAAGTCACTTTAACACACCTTATTCTGCTTTATTTTAAAGCTCCAGAGCTGAGAGATTATGAAATTACGTTCAACGTGAATCTGAATTATAATAGACATAAAGCGGGAAGTATATTCAGAGCGCTGATAGGTAACTCCCAGGATCAAGATACTTGTAATAGCTACCTCATCTGTGAGGATCCAAACAACGATTGCGATTCATGTAAGTAATTATCAAATTACAAACTTTTGAATTGAATGCTTGGACACACACCCACGTCGCCGGAGCAGAGGGATTTTGAAAACTTTAGTATTGGAGCGTGTGTAATCACTTCAAGTAACCAGATAACCAGGAAGTAATCTGAAGATCTCTTGTACACCAAGATCTCTTGTCTTAGTCAGGAATGTTTTTTTTCAGTTTGTCTTAAAAACCCGTTTCTGACTTATCTATCATGAGTCCATCTACCATACCACCGCAGCCTCCGCTTTGCATTGTAGAATATGAACACTATAGACGGGTATATTGTGTGCGATACACTAAGCATAACAACTTATGTACATGTTTACAGAATTGAAACCTATTCAGATCGACCGTGGACTAATATTCGTTTTTTTACTCCAGGTTCTATCCCTTAGGAAGACAAATAATGCCCGACCGATCTGACCCTCTTTGACCACGGACACGACTACTGATTCTGATTAGATCGATTATGCCGAGTGACACCATTTACCCATTTGATATATTTACTACAAAAGTCTTTGCAATTCTTCGTTATATTTATCGTAGTTTAATTAATAAATAAAGCTGATTATCGAAGAACAAATATTGTTGTTGAGTGTTTTCTTGTCGAACATAACTTGAAAATGAAAGCTCGGGCCAAATTTGTTGACATTAGACTTGTAAATAAGTTAGACGTGCGTAAAACAATTTGTAAGGATTATTTATCAGCTAAAAGTCTTTGTCTTTGTGCAGAACGACGATGAATTTTAGCTTGTATAGAATCTTTACCAATTGTGCATCTCAAAGAACAAAGCTCATCACCTCATGGACTTATTGTTAATTATTTCCCATGTCATACCGCCATTCAGCCCAGGAGCCAGTAGTTCTTTCTACGCCTTCTTTTATATTTAGGAAAATCAAGTCAACTTTTTTCATCGGCCACAAAATAAAACCGTGGTGCGATATGATATGTTGTTCTTAAATTAAGATAGAAATCATTACATAGATGAAAAATATTGCATAAAATGTTTTGTCAGCACATGTTATTGTTTAGGTCTTTAAAAAAAGCCTACTCGAAAGAGAAAGAAAATAATGCAAAAATTTATCCAGGAGGAAAAATAATATACAAAGTGGAACAACGGCAAAAAAAATCAAGTCTCGTGGTCCTTCCAATAGGACTACCAGAAAGAGTAAATGATGTGTTTCTGGTCAAAGCGCGCGTCAGTCCAAAATGGGCTGCTCGCGACTGTTCTTCTGGTTTATGTGGAAATACTGTAGAAATAAAAAAAACATAAACAGAAAAACATCTCTTCTTAGCCTCAACATGGATCTCACTACTACAATCATAAATTGTGACACGCTTGAACGATAACAGAAAAGCAAAGAAATATTCACGTGACCAGGCTAGTTATATTGTCATTATTGGGTCATTGTAAACTGAGAACAGACTTCTCAAGGTAGAGTGA